AGTTGCAATATCTTCACTAAAAGTTCAAAAATGATTTTTTGGCGTGGGGCTCAAACGGGGCTCAAACGGGGCTCAGGTCGGGGCTCGAACCGGGCTCAGGTCGGCTCTGGCCATCGGTTGGCTCGAGTCGGGGCTCGAGTCGGGCTCGAGTCGGGCTCAAGTCGGGCTCAAACGGGGCTCTGGCCGGGGCCCGGTCATCCGGGCTCAATCGTGGAGGTCATGTCGACCCTGCCGGAACGACTGCGGATGGCGCCCGGCCTGGCCCGGCCCCGCGACACGGACAGCGCGCCTGCCCGATGGGCTGCCTACCCGCCCGGGGGCACGTGCCCCAGTGCGGCCCTTCACGGACTGCGAGCTGCGACGAGACTAGCGTTCCGGGCCGAGCACTGCGCCTCGAGGAGAGGTGGGATGCACCGTGGCGCACGGGCTCACCTGAGATCGTGGCGCGGCCGAGGCCGAGCGGGCCCTGGAGAGGCCAGCGGGTCGGCCCGGTTGTGGACGTGCGCGTCCGTGCGTCGCGTCTAGCTGGAGGTACGTGCACGGCTCTACGATGACCGACGCCCCTCCCCCCTTTCCGGAAGCATTGACCTTGACCTTGAGTCCAGCGCGGGGACCCAGGCAGCTTCTGCTGGAGCTGGAGAACACGTTCCGGGGACGAGCACGCAGCCCGGAAGGAGACGGTGTGGGAGTCCCTGGCCACGGGCTCACCTCGAGTTCACCGGCGGATGCCTGAAGCCTGCCCATAATGAATGGGACGTCGGCCACCTTCCGGACGGGCCCTTGGCGGCCCTCGGCTCTTGGTTCGACCACCTCACACGGCCTCCGGACCCTCCGGGCCCTCCGGGCTGCAACGCTGGGAGAGCGGGGTCAAGGCCAAGGACCCCTCCACCTGGGAGGCTGGGCTGTGGCGGCTGTGGCGGCTGTGCCGCGCCGTGGCCGCGTCGCTGGAAGGGGCGATGAATGGCCAGAGGGAGGGGGTGCGTGGCGTGCTCGGTGGCGTGTTGCTGGAGGCACGGAGGGGGCAGCATCGCCGGCACCGCCGGCATCGCCCTGCCAGCCCCTACCCCGGCGATGAGCGGCGTCGCGGTGTCTGCTGGAGGGTAGGGCGCCCCGGACTCGGCGGCTCTCTTTAGTCTCAGCGAGGTGCTTCGCGCTTCGCTTCGCCGGCACCGACTGGCACCGACCGCGTCGCTGTCGCTCCCCGAGGAGTCCTTGGAGCCCGTGGAGTGCGAGGCGTGCCAAACGCGGGAGTCGTCCGGTGCTGAGTTCGGGCTAGTGGCAGTGAAGTGCAGTGTCGTGGGTTCGACTACGAGAGGAACTGTTCAGTTTTGCATCTCTCTGGAACATAATTGCAACCGCTTCGCCCTGGCGCAGAGGCCTGACTTTTGGAACTTGTCGGCGTTCATGCCGTCGGACCGAATGGCACTTTGCGCGAGCGACCCCATGACATGGTTTTGAAGCCAGTCCCATAACCGATCGCTGCCGTGGTGGGGCCTCGCCGCGCCACGCGTGCGCAACACGTTGCACGGCGTTGCACAACGACTCGGCGCGCGCACACACACGGACACACACACAAACACACACGTGCGCGTGCACTCGCACACTGCGCCGAACCTGTTCCCCGGCGCGCTTGAAATTCCCGCCAAGCCAGGCGGAGCCAGGCGGGCAAGCCCCTCTGTTGCGCCATGCGGGGGGAGGCCTGCACATCGCCCAGCTTCTAGTCCGGGAGGCGTAAGTGCCGGCGCGCCCCGACGACGCCCTCGACGCCCCGCTCCGGCTGCATCCCGTGCCGCCAGCCAGACGACACGACACGACGTCATGTGCCCCGCCGAGTGAGACGCTGAGACGCCGCCATGCTGCTGCTAAGCCTGCAAGGCCTGCAGGGGCTGCCCGGACTGCTGTGCGCCGCCGCGGGGGTGGCGGTGGGCTCCACCAGCGCGACCTCTGCTCACGACGCCAGCCCCGAAGTCGTCCCACCCGGCGTCCCGCTTCAACGGCAACCCCCGGCTCAGCCAACGCCTCCACTGCCGCGCGCACCACCAGGACCACCGCGCGATGACTTGCCGTCGGCGCCGTCGCCAGCAGCAGTGGGGCCCGACTTGGGACGCCGCACCCCCGTCGTGATTCCCGACGTCCTCCCGAAGGCCCTCGCCAGGATCCTGGTCAGGTACTGCCTGCCGCCGAGGTGGCCGACGTTGCCGGGCCGGCGCTACTACACCGTGACGGGCTTCGCGTGCCGCCGGACTTCGGGGCCGTCCGCTACAGCCGCCGAGGCCGAAGAATCGGGCGAGAACACAGCGGGATGGGCCTGGTGGAGCAACAGGTGGATGCAGGGCCTGCAGGGCCGGGAGCCGCGTGCTCAGCTCGCTCTCGAGGGGGCAGAGGGGGCAGGACGCAGTGAAGAGAGGAGGGGAAAGATTGGTGTGAGCAGTGGGCCAGGGTCGGTGCCGCACGGCCACGGCCACTCCACTGGGACTTCCCTGACCTGGAGCCGGGCGCGATGGCGCGATGCTGTGCCGAGACAGACGCGGTGCTCCGTCTACCGCGTGGAGCGAGTGCACTTGAGCTGGCCCGGCCATGGCCGTGCTGGAGGGCCGCGGCGTGGCGGGTGCGGCTCGGGCTGCTTCGGCGACAGGTTCTCGCGGGGAAGTGGTGGGTGAAGGGAAAGGGGTGTGGCTGCGCCGGGCTGCGCCGCTGCGGCTCGCGTGTCTGGCCCCGGCCAAGGAGCCGCCGCCGGTTTCACCGCGAAGGCGACGCGTCAGTCTGTTGGCCTGACCGCCAGCACTCAGCACTCTGCGTCGTCAACTCGGTGCCGCGCTGCCGCGTTCCGCACTGCGTCTAGCGGCCGGCGTTCTCCACGCCGTGGAGGCCCTCGCGGCCGTAGCCGTACCGGCCGCAGCCGGGGTTCTCGCACCGACACGCCAGCTTGCGCTGCTTGCGCCAGCCCCAGCAGCACCATGTGGGCGTCCGGGCCGTCGTCGCTGAGGTACAGTCCGGCGTGCGTTTCCCGTTCCTCATCGGGGACCCGCCAAAACGCCAGTTGACGGATGCCGAGGTGGGCGACGTCGCAGTCTTCCCGTCTGACGTCTTGGACACCAGAGCGTGCACCACCGCCGCCGCCTGACTCTTGGAGGGATCCCGTTGTCCGCACAGTTGCACCCGCGAAAACAGTTATCGCGGCCCTGGCCGCTCGTCGCACTCGCCCTCGGGCACCACGACCAGGGCGCGCTGTGAGCGCCGCGGCGGCATTGTCTAGCTGATGTGGAACGGGTGCTCCAAGCCTTGCAGTGCCTTGGGCCGCGGGGCAAGACCGGCAGGACCGGCTGGACGTGCGGAGAGTCCCTTGGACCTCCTGGACCTGGAGTGAGAAACGGGCTGGCCCTAGTGCCCTGCCCGCCGGACACCAGGACGGCCGAGACTCCTGAAACGAATGAGAAATGAAACGCACCGAGGCAGCGGCAGTCAGGCAGCATGCGCCAACAGCAGCAGGCTTCTTTGTTTTGTTTGCGCCGCGCGGCATCGGCGGAAAAATCTGAAAGCTCGCCGTGCCGCGCAGCGCGCTGCGCCGCGTGTCTGCGCGTCGCGTTGTGAAAGTGTTTTTCCTTCGTTGCCTTTTTTCGCCGCACGTTGCCTTTTGCAACCACCAGCCCGCGCACGGTGTCCGCTCCGATTTAAATGGCCGCTTCTTCTGGCTTTGCGGGCTTTGCTGCGGACGCGCTCGGCCGGTCGGCTCCAGCGGGGATCGTTTCCGCGATGGGCGGGGTGGATCAGAAACGCGTCAAAGATGACGGCGCCGGCCGTTGTTTTGATTGGCGCTATCTGGCGCGAGATCAGGGCCTGTTGTTGCTGATCCACGATGCCTGTGACGTCGTCCCAAGTGACCTAGGCGTTGGGACATGCCGTGATGGGGTCGGCCCAGGTCGGCCCATCGCGTCGTGGTGTGGCATTGCCATGGCATTGCCAGTCCAAGCCGATCCTTCCCTTCCGCCGGCCGGTCGCCGCCCCATCGCCGCGCCCCGTCGAGTCTTTAGAGTCGCTGTCGCGTCCCTTGGCCGCCGCCATGGTCGTCGCCCGGACGCTCGGTAGCGACAGCCTGCTGTGTGGCCACTGTGACGGTGCTGGAATGAGGTACCGTGTACCGTCGTGACGGTGGAATGGAAGGGGAGAACGAGTTGCCACTTCTTGCTCGCCGTGCGCGGTGTGTGGACTTCCCTGCACCGGCACGCGCGATGCTGCGCGATGCACACCACAGCCTTACTGGCCTTACCCGCCGGGTCCCTTTGCTGGCTTTGCCTTGGCTTTGACGCGTCTATTTCCGCGGTGCCGTCCCCACCGCCGTCCTCGCAGCCTCGCCCCCTGGTGCTGCGTGCGCGGCGGCGTCTCGTTGGGCCCCGCGAGGCCGTAGGGCTGCCGCGACGCTAGGCGGCGCCCGGACGCAGCCCGACGCCCCTCGCCCTCGCCGGCGTGTGGCGGTGCCGCGGTGCCCCAGCGTCCCGGTGCCCGCCGGCGTGGTGCTGCATCGCCGGCAGCGAGGTGCGTCATGCCGGTGGCGCCGGGCGCAGACGCGACGCGCAGTTGGAACGCTTCGGGCCGGACGACCTGGGCTCCGCGTGGACGGCCCAAGAGGGCCGCGACGTGGACGACGGCCTGGCCGACGGCCTGGACGGCCTCCCCGAGGGCGAGGGCTCGCTGGCGTGGCCCTGCCCCTTGCCCAGGGCCGTGCTCCACGTCGCGGGCATGGGGCCCGGCCGGCCTGGCCGCTGGTGGCACCTTCTGCGAAGGGCCTCGCGGCACCCGCAGCGGCACCCCGTCGGCAGGTCCACCTCCAGGCGAAGGGCGCAAAGCGCAGGGCGCACTGACGTTGGCGTTGGCGTTCGATCAAATGCAGTGTAGTCGTAGCTGTGATATGTCTGCCAAGCGACTGCTGTCCCCTGGCTGCTTTGTTTTCCTGTTGTTGCTTGACTGGAACCTAATTTCCTCTGTCATTTCTGTGTTGACAGGCCTTCTATGTCCCAGGGGACTGTTATGCACCCAAGGTTGCAGGACAAAGATTTCACAGTTGCCACTCCTGAAGAATTTGTGCGACGCTTTGGAGGTACTCGAGTCATTAACAAGGTATGCTGACATGCATTGAGCGAGTAGGTTAGGAGCTACATCAAAAATATTAAAATTTGCTCACTATTCTGTTGCAGATTTTAATTGCTAACAATGGAATCGCTGCAGTTAAGTGTATGCGATCAATTCGTCGCTGGTCGTATGAAATGTTTAAAAATGAACGTGCTGTACGTTTTGTTGTTATGGTCACTCCTGAAGATCTTAAGGGTGAGAAGCATAGCCCATTTACCTAATAATTAAGGTTGACATGGTTTTTGTCCTCATTATTGTCATCGTATTTTTTTTTTTTTTGCTCAGCCAATGCCGAATTTATCAAAATGGCTGATCTCTATGTGCCTGTCCCTGGTGGTAGCAACAACAACAATTATGCCAATGTTGAACTTATCCTCAACATCGCTATCAGAAACCAAGTCCAGGTAAGTGTTTTGTTACAATGAATATGTATTTCTGTACAAATTGCAGTCTAACAATTTAATTAATGTTTTAGGCTGTTTGGGCTGGTTGGGGTCATGCATCAGAAAACCCCAAGCTTCCGGAGCTTCTTCACAAAAATAATATTGTCTTCATTGGACCCCCTGAGAAAGCTATGTGGTCTCTTGGAGACAAGATTGCATCCAGCATTGTTGCACAAACTGCTGAAATTCCAACTCTTCCTTGGTCCGGATCCGGTATGTGCCCATGATACCATTTGATAGTTAAAATCTCTCATTTCTTTCAACTGTGTTTAAATCACAATTTAATTTCTTTTCAATAGGACTTACTGCTCAATTTAATGGTAAAAAAATTAAGATTTCCAATGAGCTGTACAGGAAGGGTTGTGTGACCACCCCCGAGGAAGGTGCTGCTGCAGCACTCAAAATTGGATATCCTATCATGATCAAAGCATCTGAAGGTGGTGGTGGAAAGGGTATTCGTAAAGTAGAAAATCATGAAGACTTTGCGGCAGCTTTCCGTCAGGTATGTTTTAACTTCATCTTAATTTCCAGTGGCAGTGGCAATCCCGTGAACCTTTCAAAATACTAAATCTTTTTCCTTTGTCCTCAAGGTTCAAGCTGAAGTTCCTGGTTCACCCATATTCATCATGCAGTTGGCCAAATGTGCTCGCCACTTGGAAGTCCAACTGATAGCTGACCAGTATGGCAATGCTATTTCATTGTTTGGGCGAGATTGTTCAATTCAACGTCGTCATCAGAAAATTATTGAAGAAGCCCCTGCAGCTATTGCTATTCCTGAAGTTTTTGAGGAAATGGAGAAGGTATGAAACTTGATAAATGTTTCCCTTGAGAACAAAACCTTTTGAGATCTACTTCTAATATTAATACTCTTTTAGGCTGCTGTCCGACTCGCCAAAATGGTTGGGTATGTCAGTGCTGGTACTGTTGAGTACTTGTACAACACTGACGGCAACTTTTACTTCTTGGAGTTGAACCCACGTCTTCAAGTAGAACATCCTTGCACAGAGATGGTCTCTGATGTCAATCTCCCTGCTGCCCAGCTCCAGGTATTTATAATAAAATATTGCTGTTAAGTTTTTTGTTTTGAGCCTTATAAATATGACCAACAATTTAAACTTCTTATAGATTGCTATGGGCCTTCCTCTTAGTGCCATCAAAGATATCCGCCTTTACTATGGCGAGTCACCATGGACTGACACTCCTATTGACTTTGAAAACCCAAGGCACAGACCTCAACCTTGGGGTCATGTCATTGCAGCCCGTATCACCAGTGAAAATCCTGATGAAGGTAGATTTACTGAAATTAACTCAATCATCATAAAATTTTCTACCTTGAAGCACTCTGTGGAATCTAATTTTGAAATTTTCTTTAGGTTTCAAACCCAGCTCGGGTACTGTTCAGGAGTTGAATTTCCGCTCCTCAAAGAATGTGTGGGGTTATTTCTCAGTTGCCGCCTCAGGTGGTCTCCATGAGTTTGCTGATTCTCAGTTTGGTCACTGCTTCTCCTGGGGAGAAAACAGAGAGCAAGCCAGAGAAAACCTAGTTATTGCTCTCAAAGAGTTGTCCATTCGTGGTGACTTCCGTACCACTGTTGAATACCTTATCACTCTTTTGGAAACACCCAGCTTCCAGGATAACACCATTGATACTGCATGGCTGGACAAGCTAATTCAGGAGAGAATGCAGGCTGAGAAACCTGATGTTCTTCTTGGAGTAATGTGTGCTGCATTGCACATTGCAGATGCCAAAATACTGGATGCTTTCCAGGGTTTCCAAACATCCCTTGAAAGGTAGCTTTCTTTATTTTCAAGTCTCTTTTTTCTAATGTGTGTGCCAGACTTAACCATTTTTTAAAAACTTTTGTAGGGGTCAAATTCAAGCTGCTAATATGTTGGACCACATTGTCAGTGCAGAGTTAATTCACGATGGTTTTAAATACAAGGTCCAAACCACTAAGTCTGGGCCAAACTCTTACTTTTTGATTATGAATGGCTCATTCAAGGAGATTGAAACTCACCGCCTGAACGATGGTGGTATCTTGCTCTCAGTAGATGGTTCAAGTTTCACTACTTACATGAAGGAAGAAGTTGACCGGTACCGTGTAGTTATTGGTAACCAGACCTGTGTTTTTGAGAAAGAGAATGATCCATCCCAGCTGCGCTCTCCTTCAACTGGCAAGTTGGTTTCCATTCTGTTGGAAGATGGTGGACATGTTCAGGCTGGTCAAGCGTATGCTGAAATAGAGGTAAAATAATCTTCTAAAAAAAACATGCTTAAATTTTTTTTAGGAACATGGTGATAATATTTCCTTTTTTCTTTTTGTATTTAGGTCATGAAAATGGTCATGACTCTGGTCTGCAATGAGTCTGGTACAATTTATTTCCACAAACGTCCTGGTGCAGTCTTGGATGCTGGTGCTCTTATCGCACACTTGGAGCTGGATGATGCTTCACTCGTCACTGTTGCTCAGGAGTACAAGGGACAATTCCCCCAGTCTGATTTGACTGCTGTTGCTGGCGAGAAACTCAACCACTCTCACAACCAGTACAGGACCATGCTGGATAATATACTGGCTGGTTACTGCTTACCTGAACCGTACCATCTTGCACGACTGCGAGACGTCATTGAGAAGTTCATGACCTCTTTGAGGGACCCCAGCCTACCCTTGCTCGAGCTGCAGGATGTGATTGCTTCCATATCTGGACGCATTCCTCTCTCTGTTGAGAAGAAGATTAGGAAGCTGATGTCTCTGTATGAGAAGAACATTACCTCTGTTCTGGCCCAGTTCCCAAGTCAACAGATTGCCAGTGTTATTGATGGCCATGCTGCAACTCTGCAGAAGCGAGCTGATCGTGATGTATTCTTCATGGCTACCCAAGGTGTTGTCCAGCTTGTTCAGAGGTACAGAAATGGCATCAGGGGGCGCATGAAGACAGCTGTCCATGAGCTTCTGAGGCAGTACTATGCTGTTGAAAGCCAGTTCCAAATGGGGCAGTACGATAAATGTGTTTCTGCTTTGCAAGAAAACTTCAAGGATAATATGGCAACTGTAACTGCAACAATCTTTTCGCACAGTCAAGTTTCCAAGAAGAACATGCTTGTAACCATGTTGATTGATCATCTTTGGGCTAATGAGCCTGGTTTGACTGATGAGTTGGCAACTACACTGAATGAGCTGACTACATTGAACAGGTCTGAGCACTCTAGGGTTGCTCTTCGGGCTAGGCAAGTGCTCATTGCAGCCCACCAGCCTGCTTATGAACTTCGACACAATCAAATGGAATCCATCTTCTTGTCAGCTGTGGACATGTATGGTCATGACTTCCACCCTGAGAACCTCCAGAAGCTTATTCAGTCTGAAACATCTATCTTTGATATTCTTCACGACTTCTTCTACCACAGCAACAAAGCTGTCTGCAATGCTGCTCTGGAAGTGTATGTGAGGAGAGCATACATTTCATATGATCTGACTTGCCTGCAGCATATGGAGCTGGATGGTGAAAACAGCGTGGTTCACTTCCAGTTCTTGTTGCCATCTTCTCATCCAAACAGACTGCCTGCAACAACTATTACCGAGCCTAATGCTGATGGAGAAGTCTTCGAAGTCTTTGACTCGTTCCAACGTACTGGCTGCATGGCTGCATTTGATTCCTTTGAATCGTTCTCATCCTCTGCTGATGAAATGTTGGATCTCTTAGAGGAGTTTTCATCTCCTGCCTCAGTTTCTGCTAAAGTGCTTGAGGCAGTAGAGAGTGGAAGTGAATCTCGTAACAGTACCTCTATTAATGTCAGTGTGTCTGGTACTGACCAGCCCTCTGATCTGAAGAAGCGCATGGAACCCATTCACATTCTGTGTGTTGCTGTGAAAGACAATGGAGATGTGGAAGACTCCCAGCTTAGCCGCATGTTTGGCAATTGGTGTGATAAATTCAGGGATGAGCTGAAACGTCGTTGCATTCGCCGTGTTACATTCCTTGCACTGAACAAGAGGCAGTTCCCCAAGTTCTTCACTTACCGGTTCCGTGATAACTTTGCTGAAGACCGAATTTACCGTCACTTAGAGCCTGGCATGGCGTTCCAGCTGGAACTCACAAGAATGCGGGCTTATGACCTTGAGGCTCTGCCTGTCTCCAATCGTAAAATGCACCTGTATCTGGGCCGTGCTAAAGTTGCTAAGGGACAGGAAGTTACTGACTTCCGATTCTTCATTCGTTCCATCATCAGGCATTCAGACCTTATAACAAAGGAGGCTTCATTTGAATATTTACACAATGAGGCTGAGAGGGTTCTTCTGGAGGCCATGGATGAATTAGAAGTGGCATTCTCACACCCCTATTCAAAGAGGACTGACTGCAACCACATTTTCCTCAACTTTGTGCCAACTGTAATTCTAGACCCTACAAAGGTAAATTGAAAATATATTATGTTTTATGTGCAGTAGTCTGATGAGCATTTTGTATAATTCTTATTCCCTTTTATTTTTTTCTTGCCTAGGTGGAGGAAAGCGTCACAAACATGGTTATGCGGTATGGTCCAAGGCTGTGGAAACTCCGGGTTAGGCAAGCAGAATTGAAAATGACGATTCGTCAGTCTCCTAATAGCCCAACCTCTGTTGTTCGTCTATGCATCACCAATGACAGTGGCTATTACCTTGATATCAGTGTGTACAAGGAAGTTACTGATCCCAACACTGGAATTGTAAGTTTCGTTTGCTGTACAAATAATTTTTCAGTTGTCTTTAGAAGATATGTGAACTTATGTTGCCATTTTGTTTATTTTTGCAGATTAAGTTTGACTCTTTTGGCACCAAACAAGGCCCTCTACATGGATTGCCTATTTCCACTCCTTACGTTACAAAGGATTACCTGCAGCTGAAACGATTCCAAGCTCAAACAGCTGGAACAACCTATGCCTATGACTTCCCTGAAATGTTCCGGCAAATGACTGAACGTTTATGGAAGGAGTTCATTGAGGAGCGGCCAGGCCAGGACATTAAAATGCCTGATCAGGTCTTGGACTATGTAGAGCTGGTTATGGAAAATGAAGAAACCCTTGTGGAACAAAAGAGGATACCAGGGGAAAATAATGTAAGTATTTCAGTTTTTCTTTGCTTGTTTGGTTTTTAATGTGTAGTTGATTTTTATTCTGTTGTTGCTTCTTCTGTAGGTTGGAATGGTTGCTTGGCGCCTGACAATCAACACTCCTGAATATCCTGAGGGCAGGGATGTTATTGTTATTGCCAATGATCTTACTTACCAAGTGGGCTCCTTTGGCCCACGGGAAGACATGGTCTTCAATCTGGCTTCCAAGAGGGCTCGAGAATTAAAGATCCCTAGACTCTACATCTCAGCCAACAGTGGTGCCCGTATTGGTCTGGCTAATGAAATCAAGTCACTCTTCAGAATTGCTTGGGAGGACCCCGAGGAAGAGGATAAGGTATTGGTCACAATCCGAATAAAACTGAACTTATTTGATTCTTAAGTTGCCTTTTATTTAATTGGTTCCCTTTCTTGTATGTTTTGCTAAATAGGGTTTCAAGTACATTTATCTTACTCCTGATGATTATGCCAAAGTTGCTCCTCTGAATACAGTGAAAACTGTCCTCATTGATGATGAAGGTGAATCTCGGTACAAGATCACTGACATTATAGGTAAGTGTTTGCCATTCAAAACCCATTATTGACACTGGTATGGACACAAGGTATATATATATATACTGTCAATTTTATGTGATTCTTAAATCTGTGCAGGCAAGGATGATGGCCTTGGTGTTGAAAATTTGAAATATGCTGGTTTGATTGCTGGTGAAACTTCCCAAGCTTACAAGGAAGTGGTGACCATTTCTATGGTCACAAGTCGAGCAATCGGTATTGGATCTTACCTTGTCCGATTGGGCCAGAGATTGATCCAAATTGAAAACGCTCCTATCATCCTTACTGGTTACCAAGCTTTGAACAAAGTTCTGGGTCGTGAAGTATATGCATCTAACAATCAGTTGGGAGGCATTCAAGTTGTTTATAACAATGGTGTTTCCCACAAGACTGATGCAAATGATCTGGATGGTATATACTCCATGCTTAAATGGCTCTCTTACATGCCTAAGGTAAATTTTCCTATGAGTGAAAAAAATGCAAGAGGAAGCATTATTTAATTATATTTTAAATTTGTGTTTCTGTTCTATTTTTAAGGACACTCTTTCTATGGTTCCAATGGTCACACCTGCTGATCCTATCGACCGAGAAGTTGGCTACATGCCCACGAAGGTACCCTATGATCCCCGTTGGATGCTTGGGGGAAGGCAAAACCCATGTAAGTTTCAAACATGTACTGTCTCTAATTTTTATTTTTTGGCAAATTTATTTACCATTTGTTTATTTTGGTAGTGAACCCGGAAGAATGGGAGCATGGATTCTTTGACCATGGTTCATGGGAGGAAATAATGCGTCCATGGGCTCAAACTGTTATTACTGGTCGAGCTCGTCTTGGTGGTATTCCAATGGGTGTGATTGCTGTTGAAACAAGGAAGGTTGAAATTACTCTACCCGCAGATCCTGCCAATTTAGACAGTGAAGCAAAGGTATGGTAATTTGTGTAATAGAATCTTTCATTCACTTCAGAAGATGTGTTTTACCAATAAACCTAATGTCTTTATCTCTCCCAATAGACTGTGTCACAAGCTGGTCAAGTGTGGTTCCCTGACTCAGCATACAAAACAGCACAAGCAATTCAGGATTTCAGCCATGAAGGTCTTCCACTTCTTATTTTTGCTAACTGGAGAGGTTTTTCTTCTGGCATGAAAGGTGTGCATTGTGATAACTCACAGCAATCATTTAAAATATCACTTGGTTTGGTATTATTACCAGTGTCTTAATGGTTTGTTGTTTTCAGATATGTATGACATGATTATGAAATTCGGTGCCTACATTGTCGACGCACTTCATGACTACAAGCAGCCAATTTTCGTTTACATTCCTCCCAACGGCGAGTTGCGAGGAGGTGCATGGGCTGTTGTTGACACAACCATCAACCCCAGGCATCTGGAAATGTTTGCTGACCCTGACAGCAGGTTAGTATTGACATGTGATGCAAAATTGTTTGGCAGAAGGAAAGTGATTCCATTATTTTCTTACTTTCCTTTGTTTACAGAGGAGGTGTCTTGGAAGCTGAGGGAATTGTAGAAATCAAATTTAAGCCCAAAGACCAGAGAGTACTGATGCAGAGATTGGATTCCAAGTACAGCCAATTGATATCAAAGCAAATGGCAACAGCCAACCTACCTCCTGAGGAAAAGACAGAAGTTGACAGACAAATTAAGGAGAGAGAAGCATACCTTTTGCCACTTTACCATCCAGTCGCAGTTCACTTTGCAGACTTACATGATACGCCCGAGAGAATGTTAGAAAAAGGATGTATTAGTGTAAGTAGTGAATTATCTTGTTTTTTTTTTTCTTGTTAAAGACCGGTTACTGAATTGCTTTAATTGCTACAGGAAATTGTTCCCTGGAGGAAGTCTCGTAAGATCTTGTTCTGGAGGCTGAAACGAATCTTGCTAGAAAATCAAATTCTGAAGGAATTGACAAGTGTCAAGTCTGATTTGAGTGATGGTCAAGCCAAGGCCATGCTCAGACGGTGGTTCATGGAAGATCAAGGTGCAACTGAGGTAACCAAAATTATACTATTAGAAATAAAACATTATTTTGTAGTGTAACATAAATTCTAACTTTGTATTTTCTCACTTCTGTGTTTTGCAGGGCTACAAGTGGGAGAACAATGAGGCAATGGCAGGGTGGTTGGAGGGTCAACTCAACTCTTCAAACTCAATTGTTGCTAGAAATATTGGTGCTGTGAAGCAGGATGCTGTTGTTCAAAGCGTCAAAAATTCAGTTGATGTGAGTTTCTTTCAAGTATTAAAATTGAAATATTTTGAATATTACACAGGGATTAAGAACTAATGTGTTTTATTTTGTTTTAATTTTAGAGCTGCCCTGAAGCTGCTGTAGATGCTGTAGTTGAAATGGTTCGAGGTCTGAATGCACAGCAGAGAGCTCAAATTTTGCAAACCTTATCCCAACAAGGCGAGGACCAACAATCATAGTAGTCTTATCATGTAGTAGTATGCTTCGGTATCAGTATGGCTTTATTTTCGCTCTCTGAAATGTAGGGTCTGAAAAAGTGTGAAAATCTTAGGGTTTTTGCCTGTGAGGCCTCATTTTCATTCCAAAGAGAGAATATTCAGATTCAGGAGCGTGGGCATGTGTGTCTCTTTGTTTTCTAGTTGCCATTTCATCCACAGGCTGTGAATCGTGGTAATGCACAAGGTACCTGGATGCTTCAGCAGTTTGCCAAATGCAAGCTCTGTTTTCCCATAGGTATGGGAATACATACTGGCAATAGTAGAAAGTGAATCAAGTACTGAGATAGCACTCTGTGAGGTTTTGTTACCTTTTCTTTCTGACTGAGCAGCTTGCTTTTTAATTTCTCCCTTTTCCTCAAGTCTGTTTTGATTTGTCTTATCATTGTCAGGGTGCTTTCCTGTATTTGCATGGGCATAGCAATCCTATTTTTACCCTGAACACTGTTGTTGTCATTGTTTATCTTGTATTTTGTTATCTTATCTTATACAGTCACACTAAGTTGTAAGGCAGATGAGTGACAATGAATTTGTTAAATGTGATTAACTTATTTTTGGATGCTATTATGTTATCTCCTGATAAGGCAGTAATTGGTTATTGATGATCAACTTAGTTCCAATCTCTGAGATAAGTCTGAATGCATCAGTAAACCATCAAGGTTTAGCTGGCCTAAACCAAGATAGAGTAATGAATCATTACCTCTGGAATTTGTTGCATCCTAAAATTTCGATATTAACTTGTTTTTAGCTTCCTTCACTGAGTGTACATATTGTTAATAGTCTCTGAGTAGGATCAACAACTGTTAAATCTTATCTGACAGCACTGTTGTTAAAATTGCTATTTTAGAATGAGCAACTCATCTTGCAGTTGCTAATTTTTTTTTATTTTTTGTACACGTTTGAAAGTACATGCTTGTCAAAGTTACAAATGAAAGGATGCTCATGTTTAGATACTAGTCAAGAAAATGGTGAAAAAAGTCTTGATTATTAACTAAATGTTAGCTTGAACTGTTCTGCATGCAACAAACAAGTTTTTAAATGATAGTTGTCTGTTCTTTTTTACTAGTTCAACAACTATGTGTCTTGAATTCCCATTGTTACCTGCTGTTCAATGATAAAATGACATTAACAATGTGCTGTATAAACGGACAAAGATCAAAGGTGGCCTTGTTTTAGTCCTCACAAAACACCTCATAATTTATTTTTTAAAAATGTTAAAAATAAAACTTTTAAAACATGTGTTGTTGTTTTTCAATTCTTTGGAGAGATAACTATGCCTTAAGTTGAAATACACTGACGATAATACATTAGGGTGAATGCCAGCTAGAACATTTGGGGAGCTGGTAGATGCATGAAGTCCCAACCAATCTGTGGTGGTACAGAAGTGCAACCAGCGATATGTGGCTACACAAAAACGCAACAAGTGAGTGACATCATGAACAGTGTAGAGCAAGTCATTATCCATCCTGCAGCAGAAACTTGGTTTTGGAAGCTTTATTCCCTTTGGCACTAAAGCATTTTTTGTGTTGAGAAAACAGAATTGAAAGTGAATACGGTATGACAGGCAACCTTGTTGCTCACAGGGAAAGGCACTGGCTCTTGGAAACACATGCAAAGGGACACTTCAATGAAGCCCCTCATAAAGATAACAAAATTTATCTTCCGTATAATCCCATAACGTGGTCACAGGGTAACTAATGATCTGGATCTTTCCTCTCCTATTATTCAAAACAAGCAACATCGGATAAGGAGTTGAAGATAAAATCAAGAGCTATACTGATAAAATCAAAAGAGGACTTTAATGCAAAATTTTAATCATGTGTATAAAAGTACATACTATTAACAAACAGAAGACAAATCTAACACCAAAACAGTATTTCAGGAACAAATTTTTTCCTTTAAACTACTCCTCAGGCATTGGTTGGACATTTTTCTTCCACCCAATTGACATCTGCCCATGGTGGCAATGATGTTTCATATGACCAGTTAGGTCCTTCATAGCGATGGGCATGGAGATACATTATCAAGTCCATGGGCTTAGGGTCCCTGTAATTTAATTTGCATTCAGAACAAGTGGCCTCTTTAGTGAGTTTTTCTTTCTGAAAATAGGGATCTGGCTCTTCATAATTTGTTTGAGTTGAAATTGATTTGCAAGAAGGTTCCTCTGTCTTTGCTGACTGGTCTGAATAAATGCACTCAGATGGGCTTTCCTCAACCTCATCCTCTAATGTTTCATTCAAAGGAACTGACATCATGGCGACACTTTCATTGCCATCAAGGCCAAGCCAATTCTCTGCATTGTGAATGTGCACTAAATCATTTATTAGCTGCTCATCTGATTTCCCAATTCTTCCTCCTTTCCCCTTTTCAGGACCAAAAACAGGATGGTTGTACAGAGGATCTCTAAGGACCGGGAACCCTAAATATTGTAAATGCACTCGTATCTGATGCATCCTTCCTGTATGAGGCATACATCGCAGAACACTGATATTTGTGTTTGGGTTGTATCCTAGCTTTTTGAAGGTTGTCTTGCAGTCTTTCCCCTTTGATGATACTTTACACACACCTATTTTATAACTCACAACTTCTATTGGCTCAGTACATTCAATTTCATCATAGGGAAAGTCTCCTTCAACACGACAAACATATTCCTTATGCACTAAGCGATTGCGAATCTGCTCCTCCAATTCTAATGCCTTTCGAACAGTTCTTCCGAACATTAATACTCCACTAGTCAACCTGTCAAGCCGGTGGATGGTCCGCAGATTCTTTAAATTATATTCTTTAGCAAGAATAAACACTATAGTGTTGTGTCTATACCTCCCACAAGGATGAACAGGAATGGAAGCTGGTTTGTTGATTACCACAACATCCTTGTCAATGTGGACAATTTCAATTGGGCTGGCCACAACAGGTACTTCATGACGGTGAACAATATTAGCAAGCAGGTCATTGTGTTTTAACTGATAATCTATAGACACTTTATCATAATTTACTGTTAGTGACCCAGCCTCAATACAACGCTTGTACTCTTCAGAAGGATGAGCCCGAAATTCTCGAGAGAACACGTCAAGAATAGTATCACCTACCCACCTACCTTTTGTGAAAGTTGTGAAAGTAAAGTAATAAGGATATACCTTACGTAAACCTTCATCAAAGTAATAAGATGTTTCATTAAATCTATCATCTGAATAACCTGGCCTGGGGACCTTCAAGGCATTTGCAGGACTCTTCTGATTCTTAGAGTCGAAAGCTAATGCTTGAAGGTCTTTTGACGCTTTAGAAAATGATACAGTATCTTTATCCAAGATAACACATTTGTCTTGATTCGTACTGTCTAAATCAGGCGAGTCACATTTCTCAGTTTTCACCCGTTTAATTTCAACCTCTTCTGATGAGGCTGCTGCTGCTTTCCTCTTCAGGTCCCTTTTTTCTTTGCGCCTAATTTTCTTGCTGTTGGACAGCTCTTCGACTTTGTTCAAAGGGTCATCTTCTGCATCGGACCAACTTTTTAAAAGCACTATGTTGGAATCTTCGAACGTCTTCAAAGTGCCACATTGAACAGAAACGCACACCATGCTGCTTTCGTTCTGAGATCCATTGGTTATTTCGTAAGCCGCGTCTGTCCCATTTTCAATCTTCACTGACATCTCGCACACAACTACAACAAATAATGATAGGTTATGATGAGTGTAGTTCGGCCTCCAAGCAAAAAGTAATAAGAAAAACATCAATTAAAGATGGAAATGATTTCTCACCATAAGTTTGAGATCAACCGTAGACGAACTTCGAAAGATCAGTCGACAGAACAGGCTGACGAGACTTATCAAAGAGCAGTCGCCAACAGCAGAACAGAGAGTAGATATAAACGCCGACACGCGAAACGTCGTCACGTGTATTTATATTTGGCGCTCCACTCTCCTGCATATAACATTGGGTATTCGCAGGATATTGCTTTGTCAACACTCTGACAAAAACAGTGCGGGCAGGGGAAGGGAGGGGATAAGGGGAGGGGTGGCAGGGTAAGGGGAGGGGTGAGGGGCAGTGGCTGTATCTGCAGCCAGCCAACGAAAGCTTAGGCCTAGGCAGTCGTCAATCGTGTCGTTGAAAATTCTTGATGAGCAAGAGTATTTCACCTGGAGAAAACAAGACGTCGGAGCGATCAGCTGAAACGAGAGCACCATGTCTTCATCGCCATCTGAGGATGAGGACAGCCTCCTCGCGGAGATACGCAACGTGCGGAGCGTTATTCAATTAACAAGGGAGAACATCGACGCGCTGAACGCCAAATTTGCGGATTATCCGAACCCTCCGCAGATGTATGTCAACGAATATGAAGAACTGACGGGTAAACTACACGAACTTGAAATGAAAGAGCAAGAATTGCTGGACAGAAAAAGCCTACGTGAAGAGGAACTTGTGAAACAAGATGGGGCGTTTGAGGATAGGTCTGATCCTGCAGGAGAGGGTCCTTCTGCCCAGAGTCTGCCAATGATTAAAGCATACCTGCCAAATCAACAAAGGACTGTTGTGTCGATAAGGCCTGGCCTAACATTAAGAGAAGCTCTCACTAAAGGTCTGACTCGCAGGAATCTCTCGCCCGAAATGTGCACTGTGTTTACTGTCGCAGATCACGTTCAACTGTCATGGGACACGGAAATTTCATCCATCATGGGGGAAGAAATACGTGTAGAGATCCTTGAAATGTTTCCTGTTACCTCAAGCATATCTCACAATTTCCAACGTAAGACCTTCTTTTCATTAGCATTTTGTGAGTACTGCAGGAGATTGTTGTTCCAAGGGTTCTGCTGTCGAACCTGTGGATACCGATTTCATCAACGGTGTGCTGCTGGCGTCCCAGCTATTTGCCAGTTGTCTCATATGGAAGATAATTACTATCAAATGCTATTAGCTCAGAATACAGAAACACCAGCTGGCATATTGCATATGCCTGCTGGCTATAACAACATTAGTCGAGTTCAACCACCTATAAGAAGAACTAACCGAAGCCTTGGACACGGAGAAAGGTCAAGTTCTGCCCCAAATGTTAGCTACAATTTAGTGCATGTTGGTAATGATGTGCAATCGTTAGAAGATATGGTTAATGCACAGACAGCAGGTTCTGTTGCTGCAGCTGCCAACTCTAATAAACTTTCTCACAGCCAGAGTGCACAAGCATCACCAACAAATGCACTCAGGCCTTGGAGGCCTCGCGCCAGAAGTGCTGATGAAAGTGCCAATAAAAGGATTCATACTCCTCGCGAATCAATAGAGGACTGGGAAATTCCTGCAGATGAGATTCTGATAGGAAATCGTATTGGTTCTGGTTCTTTTGGAACTGTTTACAAGGGCCACTGGCATGGTGCTGTTGCTGTGAAAACTTTGAATGTAAAGGATCCGACACCGGCTCAACTTCAAGCATTCAAGAATGAAGTGGCAGTCCTTCGTAAGACAAGACACGTCAATATATTGCTCTTTATGGGGTGTGTCAGTAAACCCCAGCTGGCTATAGTGACCCAGTGGTGTGAAGGTTCAAGTCTGTATCGTCATGTTCATGTCCTAGAAACTAAGTTTGAATTATTAACATTGATTGAAATCAGCAGGCAAACAGCACAGGGCATGGACTACCTTCATGCAAAGAACATTATCCACAGAGATCTGAAGAGTAATAACATCTTTCTCCATGACTTGACTGTGAAAATAGGTGATTTCGGTCTTGCAACAGTGAAAACAAGATGGTCGGGTGGCCAGCAGTTCCAACAGCCATCAGGGTCTATACTGTGGATGGCACCAGAAGTGATTCGGATGCAGGAAGAAAACCCTTACTCATTTCAATCAGATGTGTACGCTTTTGGTGTAGTGCTATATGAGTTATTTGCATCACAGCTGCCTTACTCAAATATCAACAACAAAGATCAAATTTTGTTCATGGTAGGAAGAGGCTACTTGAGGCCTGATCTTTCAAATTTAATGACCACTACACCCAAGGTCCTCCGGAGGCTAGTGGAAGATTGTTTGAAAGTAGACAGAGAGGACCGACCTCTCTTCCGTCAAATTTTGGCATCACTTGAAGGCCTGATCAGGACATTACCAAAAATTCACAGGTCAACATCAGAGCCATTCCTCAACAGAACGCCTCTTCAATCTGATGATTTTGTTTATCAGTGTGCATCTCCTAGAACACCCATTCATGCTCAGTACGGAGCATTTCCTTTCTATTCAATTGGAGGAGTCATATGACAGGGGCCTACAGTCCAAGTTTGCTGAATAGTCAGTTTTGTGAAGGAGGAAATAATGTCTTTCATCTTGACTCGTAGTCTGCAGTGTGAATATTCTTCAGTGGATTAATTACTTGCTTGTTCCTGTCTCTTTAATGTTGAAATTGAGCTGTGCTGCTCTATTGCCTTTGTGCAAGTGGACCATTGTTTTCAAAGTATACAAACATCATTATTTTGCATTGTCGTTTGTGGTCTTTGCCAAAATGCTTCAATAACAACTATTCTGTCTTGTGTAATATTTTACGAATTTCTTTTTCTCACTTTATTTTCTTGCAGAGGACCATTTGGAAGTAATATTTGGACCTTGTGATACTCTGTAGCTTTCTTTTTATTCAAAGGACATACACTGCACGCTATTATTTTGAAAAAAAAAATTAAATTAATGGGTGGGTTTTAAAGAAAGGAATCCATATTTGCAGTCTATACAAACTTTTAACCATGACTTGTAATTGTATGCAATTATTTCCTATTGAGAGCTGGCATGTTAGGTGTACTACTAGGCTTCTTCCTTGACTTGGATATTGTAGTAGATTGGTTTGTGGAGTTACTACTAGTAGGATTGCAAACAGATGATTCATGTTATTTCTTTTTGAGAGAAGTGCCCAGCCAAACTTATGAATATATGCTCTTTCTCTAATTTTTTAACAGGGGCGTGTCTTTTAAAACAATGGCTGGTGGTGCACTTGGAAAAGGTCTTGCATTTTATCATTTGACTTCCGTTAACTTGCACTTCTTTGTGTTTGTTCGATCGAGGGTTGAGTGTGAGGGAATCCTTTGTTTCCAAATTCGAACAGAAAAGCTAATGAGTCCTTATCATTAGTTGGTACACAAGTTTTATGTCATTGGTTTATCTTTGCATTATGAACAATTTCATTTTCAGGAGCCCAATTTTGTGTCAGAATCAAAGTTCGTATTGCTAAAATTTGTGAAGATGTCTATTTCTTCTTGTCACTTTGTTTCTGTTTATAATTTGTTGTAGATAAGGTGCTCAATCAATACAATGTTTCCTTAGTTTAAAAGACAAGGCTTTTGCGAGCTGTGCTTGCATTCGTTGTCCCGATTGTGATACAATTATTAACTTGTGTTGGTTGATTGTGAATGTGAATTTTATAGAACATATATTTGCCTGTCTTGAATTCTAAAGTTTTTGAGGAAAATTGATATTTTGTTTAATAACTACAGTTTGGTGAACATCATTTGCTGTAGTTAATACAGTGAATGCAATTTCTTTGTTCACTTAGTTCATTTTTGGAGCACTCAGAACCCATCATGACCACAATTTATTCTGTCCCATAATATTAAGGCATGCATGGCTTGCCTTTAAACTGTCATCTTTCCAAGATGACTCTAATATTGAATCTCAATCTGTTTAAAGGATTTACTATAAATTATTCAATTGATCCTGTACATGAGTTGATATTTCTGATAAAGTACCAGCACAGCATTTTAGGTGACTTTTTCAATGTTAAATTTCATTTTTGCATGTAGCAGCAAAGCCCTGAACAAACTTTTTTTTTTTTTTTTATAAAACTGCTTGGGTTTGAAGGGTCATAAGGGTATAAATTGTTGGTAGAGCTGGTGTGAATTCTGCGGACTTTAGGAGATGGAGTACGCACTAGATTCTTCTTGATTCTTCTAATCTATGTCAGCCCTCGATTTCAATTTGTGTTGGGAGAATCCTCAAAAATTCTTGTCCTTTCTTCCTGCTGTCTGGTTTGGCCAGATCAACCAAGATACTGATCGCTTGTAATTTATTCGCGAACAAGGCCTTCTCCCTCTTATTTTTTTTTATTTTATGTGTGATGTATTTGAATGATGGCAAAATACACATGGATTTTAAATGTTACCAGTTAATAATTTTAGAATGTATTGAAAGATCTCACTTTTTTTTTGCCTGTGAAGGTTCTTGTTATGACAAGATTATTGACATGCTTTTAAATCAGTTTATTTCTTGTTAAAAATGTGATGTTCCTTAAGTTTTAATTGTCTGAACTACTGATAAGCCGATTTTCTATGTTAAATAAATCATAAATGTACAAAAATGATAGGAAATGCGCTAAGGGGTGAATAAACATTGTGACTGATGAAGTAGCTTAGATGTACAAATTTAATTATTGCAGTGTCTGCTGTTTTGACCGATCACTGATTAGTGTGTTGGCCAGCTTTCTTGATGGAAATGCAACTCTCTTTGCTGTGCTATCTCTCAATGAGAAAGCCTGTAATTATGTTCAAAGTACAAATAATTAACTTGTGCAGACTCGAGCTGTGAATGTGTGTTGACACAAATAGCAAGGAACTGTTCTGAGAGTTCTTTTGAAAGATGATTTGCAGATTATCTGTCTGTATGACATTCATACTGTAAATATTACTATTAGCAATGTATATTTATTCATTGTATCCGAACGACTTTTTAAAAATAAGTAAAGTAAGTGCTAATTTGCGGCTTCTCTGTGATTGCCAAAATCTTAAAAGAGAAAATAAAATTGAAAATTGGACTGAAAAGTGTGTGATGCAATCATTCTTCCTACGTAAGGTATCTTCTCAAACAAACACAAGAAACACCAGCAATTAGTGAAATACAAATCATTGAATCAACGAAGACCTCTCCCAAGAAATTGTGGCCGAAAAAGAGACGAATCAATCGACTCCCACGCGTGGCCTTGTGTCCCTGACGTGCCAGATGCTCTAGAGTAGACGTCTCTGGGGACGCAAATCTCCTTAGGGTCGAATCGTCACAGAGACCCTAACGACATTCGTGTCTGATGGGTGGCCTACCTGCCAGGCGGTCCGTGTGCGTGCGCCCGCGGGGCAGGCCTCCCATCAGGCACGCGTGTCCAGTCAGTCCCTGACTTCCCCTGCTGACTGTTTGTTTATAGTTCGATTCGCCTTGGCTCCGCGGGTTAGCGTATTGGTGTTGGCGTTTCTGGGAAGGGCGCCGCGACAGCGCCGTGGCGATGAGCCATGACCGGGGCAGAACGGGCAGGGCTGGCGCCAAGGGGTTGCAAGAGGGTTGGCCCGCACTCGGCGCCATGTCGCCGCCGCCGTTGTTCCCGCACCGCGGCCAGGGCGGCGGCAGAAGAAGGAGCGGATGGCTGTGCAAAGCGCTCCGCTGCGTGGCCCTGCACTGCGAGACCAGCGACCCCGTCTGGGAGGCGTACTCGGAGACGCGGTGCGTAGGTGTGTATAGTGCCTCCGCTCGGTCGGCACGCTGTCGTGTTGACGTTGTTGCCGCGTTCGCGCAGGAGCGTGTCGCTGTGCTGCATGTACGTGCCGGTGTTCCGCGCCGCGCAGGCCGCCGCCATCCTGCCCCCGCCGCCGGGGAGGCTCCGCTGGCTGCAGGCCGTGGTGATCGTCGTGGCGGCGTGCGTCTGCAACGGCGCGGCGCAGCAGCTGTTCATCCACCACCTGCAAGACGTGCTAGAGACGGGCTTCCAGCTCAGGCTGCACGCGTACATCGCCGAGAACATGATGGTGGCCATGCAGACCCCCATCATCCTGCTGGTGTCCTGGGCCAACCTGGGCCGCGCTGCGCCCGTCCTCGCCGCCGTCATGGCCCACGCCGGCCCGCTGCGGCCCGCGCCGTCCTTCGTGGTGGTGACGGCCCTGCTCTTCCTGTCGCACGTCGCCTCGCAGGTAGCCAGCTAGCCCCTGGCTAGCCCCCGCTCCCCGGTCGGTGCGGGCATGCACGCTCACCCCGCGGTACTTTGACTTGCAGACCGTGCTGTACACGGTCATCTTTCAATTCGACGATGACCTCACCTGCTTCGCGGTGGCCGCCGCCTGGTCGGGCTTCTGCGCCCTCGTCATGGACCGCCTCGTCTCCATCGCCCTCACGCTCTCCGCCCTCAAAATACGCGTAACGCTCTCGGAACACAGTCGGTACTTTACGTGCGGAAAGGAAGTCGGTATTTGAACCCAGGATGAAACCCAGGTCCTGAACCGGCGCTTGTCCTCGCTGTGCCCGGCGACCACGGACATAACGGCGGCCATGACGGCGGCATCCCCGACCCTGGACCCCACGGTGCAGCGCGGACTGCTGCAGGGCGTGGCGAACCGCTGGGAGGCCACCATGGAGCAGGTAAGTGGGCGCTGCGCATCGGCGTGAAGGCGAAGGTCGCGGGTTCGCGTCCCCACACCGCAACCCCCTTTGAGTTGTTGAAGGTGTCCGCGCTGCTGGGCCACGACATGCTGGGCCTGCCGCTGCTGTACAGTCTCCTGCAGATGTCCATCGGGCTGGTGACGTCCACCGCGCAGGCCGTGCAGGAGGACACGCTCGCCTGCATCCGCCTGTACAGGCTGATGGACATCCTCATGTACCTCACGAGGGTGGCCTCCCTCGCCGTGACCGCGGGCTGGCTGTACAGGGAGGCCAAGGAGACGGAGACGATCCTCGGCACGCTGGACACCACGGCCTGGCCGGCCAGGGAGCGCCACCGCGTGAGTCCACCAGACACTCGCAGCGCACGGGGCTGTACCGCCAGACTCGAGATACTTACACGAGAGGGCGTGTCTTAGGTGCGACACCTGCTCCGCCTGAGCCGGGAGACGAAACATTTTCGCGTGTGCGGGATAGTCAGTTTGGACCACGGCCTCCTGTTCACGGTACACGCATTCTCTGCTCGTTCGTACTCTTTTATTCACTTATTTTAATAACATTTATATAACTCTGATTAAAAAACACTCTCTAGATAATGGGCAACACGGCCACGTTCGTGGTCATGCTGCTCCAGCTCCCGATCCTCACCCCGGGGAAGGCGGCCGAGCAGCTGAACCAGACGGAGGCCAAAGCTGCCGCCGCCGAATGACTGTCTTTCACTGACGGGGCGGGTCCGGGACTCGTCATCACAGCTCGATGGCCTGGGCGTGCAGCTCGGGCATGGGCAGCCCCTGCAGGCCCTTGCCCAGGCCCAGGCCCTTGGCCAGACCCAAGCCCTTGGCCTTGGCGAAGGCCTTGTGCTTGCTGGCCTTGGTCTCCAGCTCCAGCTCCATGGTCAGGGACTCCACCTCCGCCTCGAGCGAGCGCGTCCGCCGGAACATCTGCACGTAGTTGAGCTGCAGCTGCCGCTGGTAGCGCAGCACCTTCTCCTTCTCCTCGGCCCAGGTGGCGCGCTCGGCGGCGAGCTCCTCCCGCAGGCGGAGCACCTCGGCGCGCAGCTGGTTCTGGGCGTCGGCGGACAGGGCGGGCTGCGCGTCGGACTGGGAGTGTCCCTGCGTCGGCAAGCCAGGAAGCGGAACGTCAGAACACCATCGACGAAGACAAAGTGACGCGTCTCTCCGGCCGGCGTTCTGCTCCTCACCCACCTGCTTGCTGTGGTGCTTGCTGACGGCCTGGTTGCCCTTGGCCTGGGCCACCGCCAGCTCCAGCTCGGCCTCCAGGTGCCTGGCCACGGAGCGCAGCTCGGCCGCGTCGCGGAGTGCGGCTTCTCGCGCGTCCGCGGCGCCGTGGAGGTCGGCGTCGCGCTCGGCCAGGGAGTGTCGGAGCGCGACGCGGTCGGCGTCGGCCCGCTCCAGCTGGGCGCGGAGGTCGCGGTTCTCGGCGCGCAGGGCAACCGCCTCCTGCGCCCTGCCGGACAGCCGCGCCGCCTGCTCCTGGTGCGACAGGGCCTCCTTGAGCTGCGCTTTGAGCAGCGACAGCTCGCCGTTGCGCTGGTGCAGCGCCCAGCTCGTCTCCTCGAGCCGCGAGCGCAGCAGGCGGACCTCGTCGTGCACTCCTTGTAGTCCGTGGCGCTGCCGGTCGCGGTGCTGTTGTTGCTGCTGTTGCTGCTGCTGCTGTTGCTGCTGCAGGGACAGCTGCTGCTGCTGTTGTCGTTGCCGCTGCCGCGAGTCCGCCGCGTGCTGCAGTCTCCGCAGCTCCCGTGCCCAGCCTCCGCGCTCGGCCCGCTCCTCGCGCTGCAAAAACCAAACAGAATAAATACGGGAAGGAACAAAAAAGGAAGGAACTCGCTGGTATTCGAACGCCGACGCGTTTACACGTACCTGCCGGACGGCGAGCTCCGAGTCCCTTCCCCGCAAGGCCGCCTCCAGCTCCATGTCGGGGGGAAGACCACTGCCGTCCAGGTCGCCGTCGACGTGGTCCGCCGAGCCATGGTGCAGCGACAGGGAGGACAACGGCAGCCCCACGAGGGGCAGTCTCCGAAGGGCGCTGCGGGCAGCCAAATGGTTGTGAGCGACCGCAGAGGGAAGAGGGGGAAGGGGGAAGGCCCGGGCAAGGCCAGCGAGGGGGTTCCCCGTGCTTTCCGTGGACCATATACTCACGCATCTGAGCGGTGACTGTGGCCGATGTTGCGGTCCACGGAACCCGCCCTGGAGGGCACTGGCACGGTGAGGCCGTTGGAGTTTGCCAAGGGGTCGCATCTCCCCTCCAGACGCCCCTCCAGGCGCCCTTCCAGGCGCCCTTCCAGGCGCCCGGGCAGCGGTAGCGAGTTTAGGGAGGACAGCGAGGACAGCGGCGGCGAGGAGCACAGCGTCAGCTTTCGGTCCAGGGACAGGTGGGAGCCCGAGCCCCCCAGGGGGCCCAGGCCGCCGTGCAGGGAGCCCCCGAGGGGGCCGCCGAGGTGGGACGCCCCGCTGGCGTGCAGCGACCGCAGGTCCGTGGTGCCTGCAACAGGGACCAACAGGTTGAGCGCGTGCGGGCAGTACAGGGAAAACAAGAACCAATGGGGTGCGCGGAGGCTCAGCGGTACGGACGCGGCCCCGTGGCGCATGGCACCGTGGCCCCTCCGGGGCTCCAGCCGGCCCGTCCGTCTTATCGGTCCGATCGAGCGCTTTCAGGCGATAAGGACGCCCTGCCCCGCTTGTCCTGGTTCGGACTGTTTGGACGAGGAAGAGGCCCGGGCCACCACGGGCCGCCCAGGCTGTCGAACCCACGTCCGCCCGACCGCCCCGTGCTCCTTGATAAGGACTCGGATCACCGTCAGGCCGCCATGGCGTGCCCGGCCGTGCCAGCTCGTCAGGGTGGTCCCGGCTCTTTCCAAACCAGAGCCCCCTGTTGCACCAGCGCGCGGAGTGCGGAGACAGGTTGGCGAACGCAAGCAATGCGAGATGAAGGATACTCACTGCCGTGCAGCGCGAGCCGCGTGCCCGGCCTGGCCAGCACGGGCGTGGAGCCGTACCGCTCCCCCGCGTTGGTCAGCCTCGAACCCTGCAGGGCGTGCCGGCCGCCGGACTGCCGGCCTCCGCCCGCCGTGGCCGTGGGGCCGGGGCTCATGGTGCCCTGCAAGGGCCTGAAGGCGATGGGCCTGATCACCGCCTTGCCCTGGAAACAGACAAAGTCAACATCAAACTCCGACTCTATCTCTGGGCAAACTCCGTGCTCGTAGGCAGGTCGCTTAGCAGCCGTCCCCACTCCCTCATACTCTCACAGACAGACACACACACACACACTCACACGTGGATTGGCGGTGTGGTATAGCCCTGGCGCAGAGCGTGACCTGATTCAAGGAGAGGTAGGGAAGAGGAGGGAGGGGGCAACGGGCGAGGAGAAGCATGAGTGAGGGGAAGGGGAGAGGCAGGCCGATATTCGTGAAGTCCCTCCTACTCTTACTTACCAAGCGATCAGCTGTAAGCTAAACCCCTCCACTGCGCCGCGCGCAGCGTGCCGCGGCCTGGCGGCCGTTTGCCTCCAGCGCCGGGCTGCTCCCCGGACTGCAGGGCCCGTCCGCAAATCACGTAACACGCAACACCCACCTGTGACAGCACGCCGCTGAACGGAGTGATCCTGGGCGGCCGCGTCGGCTCCGACGGCGGGGTGGGGGTGCTGGGGGTGGGGGTGTGCGCCGAGCCGACCCCCGACGACGAGGACCCCGATGACGCCCCCGAGCCTCCGCCCTCGCCCTCACCGGGCCCGCCGGCCTCGCAGGACGAGCCGTAGGAGCCGTCCGAGGAGAAGACGGTGTCGCGGCCGGAGTCTGCCTGCGAATGGGAGGCTGGGCCTAGCCCTTGCCAGCCCTGGCCGAGGCCCTGGCCCTGCCGCGACATCTGCAACAGCAGCAACAACAACATGAAGAAGGGTACCAAGACTGCGGCGCGGCCGCATCGCAGCAACAACAACACGACTTGGTGCGGCCGCGGAGAAGTCCTCGGCGCAGGCGGCGCGATGCAGGCCCGTCACGCACGGCAGCGACGCGGCTGCCTACCTCGCAGGGGCCCCATTACCATTACCACTACGGGCTGGCTAGACCACAACTGAACGTATGGCGTTTCGGGGCCCACACATGCCCGCCTGCACTGCAAAACGAGACAAGGCCGTCCTGACTAGGGTGACACGTTATACCGGCGGAGAAGAACCTCGGCAGGCTCGTTCACGCGCGGCGGCAGCGAGGGCATCATCGCGCTTGCGTTTTGGGAGCACCTTGGCGGCTCGGCGTTTGAAACTGAAGACGAGAGCGGGGCGAATGGCGAGTGGGCAGCGCGCGCGCCGCGCAGCCTCTTTGGGAGAAAACCGTGTTTCGCAGATTTCCTCCAACGTGAGCGTCAGCAGCTCGGCGGCGTGGGCGTCGCCTCGGCAAGGCAGGCGTCGCGTTGCACGCCGTCCGCGACTCGCGACTCCGAGACTCTGCGGCACGGAGGCGCTTTCGTGACTCGCGTGGGCGCGTCCAGCGTGTTGCCCGGTGAATCCCGCGAGGCATCTTCTGCGCCGCCCGTCCGTCCGCCTGTCCGTCCGTCTGCCTGTCCGTCCGGCGCGCTGTCTGCCTGTCCACTGCCTCATCACTTCTCGGTACAGCGTCGTAGATGGATGGCCGGCAGACAGGCGGGCAGGCCCACGGCAGGCCCATGGCAGGCCGAAGGGCGGAGCGCGGACGGCGGCGAGGCTGGACGGCTGCAAGGCTGGAGGCGCCAACGAGGAGGACAGCGAAAGTGGAGCCAGCAGTGAGCCAACCCTGGCAGGCTGGCCTGGACTCCAGGCCTGGACTCCAGGACGACACGGCGCGCGTGCCTCTCAAAGCCGCAGGCCCCGCCGGCGATAGGCGTATCTATCTAGTGCGCTGGCGCGCTGGCAGGGCTAGGGCTGGCGGCGGAGTGGCCAGTGGAGTGGGGCGGGGCGGCGCGGGTCCCGAAGCCACAATAACTTGCTGGCTCCGCAGAGCTCCGCAGCCAGTGTCCAGACCAAAGGGAGTTACCTCCGAGGCCTCCAGATTCCAGGCTGCTAGCTCCAGGCCCTGGAGTCCACGCCCTGGCGTCCAGGCCCCCGCGCCTCCCGCGCCGGCCCCAAACGAGCTCGCGGTCTTTGTCCTGCGCGCATTCCGCGCGGAACGCCAAGGACTCTATGACGCAGCCGGATCGGCCGCATGCAGTGCGATGCAGTGCAGCCCCACGAGCCCATTGGCCAGGTTTTCCAGCCGCTTTCCCGGAAAAGCCTCCGCGTCAGCGGCACGGCGCTAGACGGTCCGTGACTATGAGCTCTGCCTGATCCGCCCGATCCGCCCGAGGAGCTTATTGGGCGCGATAAGCTGAGCCCAACTATCGAGCATCGAACGGCGCCTCGCCTCGCCTCGCCCAGCAGCCCAGCCTCGCCGATGCTGGCCGATGCCTGATGCCGAAGGCTGATGGCAGCGCGGCCAGCGCGGCGTCTCGGCGCGGGTCTGGTCTGGTCTTCTGGTCGGGCACTCCGTGGCACTCCGTGGCACTCCCAGCCCGGGGCGGAGGGCCGGCCCCGCCGTGGCCCCGCCGTGGCCCCGCCGATAGGGGCCTGGTCGCAGATCGGCCCGGATAATGCACCTCGAACCGCTACGTACCCTCCATTGCCGCCATGGCGCGGCCCGGTGCGGCCGAAAAACAAAGGGGGATAACAGTTACGGAGAAGAAGGGCGGTTTCAAAGGTTGCCAATGAGCGGCGTCACCGTGCCGCCAAGCGTCCCGCAAGCGTCCCAGGGGCCTCTCGCAAGGCTCGCGAGGGGTCGTCGTTGCGACGGTGACATTTCAGGCGCCTGTCAGTTGGCAGCACTGAGCGTGACTCGCTCCGTCCCGCTCTCGCCAATTCGTTCTCCCTCGCTCCCTCGCACCCGCGGCCCGCGGCCATTGCGCAACCCGCTGGGCGTGGACGGCGTGGACGGCGCCGTGGACGGGGGAGGCAGCCTGGAGGCAGCGCGCCGCGCGGCCGCAGAGCCACGCCAAGGTTGGCAGCGGCGGGGCCGGGCCAGGCCACTGCAGCCTGCAGCCGCGCGGGGAACGTCGGTACGTTCTGCCCCCAGCTAGTGCAGTGTATAGCAGTGTACAGGCGGTGGCGCCATCGCCTGCACACCGAACCCGAACCGACCCAACACCGCCGAAAACGAAAAACGCCGCCAACAGCAGCTGTTGCGCAGCCAGGGCGGGCGCGTGGTGGCGACGCCCTCGGCGACGACCCTGCCCTCCAGGAGGCCGTGGCACTGCCTTGGGTACCTTGGGCACGGCGGAGGGGAATGGGGAGAGCTTTTGTCTCGTAAAGATTCACGAGTGACGAGTTGATCGCATGGGAGCGCAGCACAGCGCAGCGGGGCGGGCTGGGGCTCCGCGCGCGGCCACCGCCCAGCTGCCCTCTGGCACCGCCACTGCCCCGCCGCGCCCGCCCCCGCCCCGCCCCGCCCCGCCCCCGCCCTCGCGCGTAGCGCACTGACAGGCCGGTACCGCTACGCTAGCGCTGCGCGACACGAGCTCGCCGGCCAGCCTCTCGCCGCGCTGTGGGTGCAGGCGGTGCAGGTACCCAGTACCCAGCACCCACAGGCACCCTGCTCGACGCCGAGACGCTGCCCAGGTCTGCATTGCATCGCTCCAGCAGCACAAGCAGCGCAAGCGGCCAAACCTCGCCGCTCGGCGCACTGCGGTACACTACACTGCTCCAATTCGCGAATGTGGCCTTCTGTACGCGCGACTCACCTGCAGCGGGCACGAGGCGCAGGAGAACCTGCAAGCAAACAAACAAAGTGCGCGTCAGCCCCAAAACACTTTCACGACAACGTAATGCGCATTTGAATGGGCGAGTGTGCGTGTGTGTGCGCGTGTGTGAGGAGGAGGAGGAAATTTGTGAAGAGAGTCGAAATGGGTCCAGCAGGGGTCGAGGGGGAAAGGGGGGGGGGGGGTCAAAGAGGGAGGCCATACCCGAAACGTATTCACGTTTATACTTTCGCCTTTGGCCATCCTCTCACTTGCACGCGCGCGCGCGCGCGCACACACACACACACACACACACACACACACACACACGCATACACGCATACACACACACAAGCACCTGCCCAAGCGGCGAGAGCGGGGTCCGTTATGCACAGCATCGCTGGTCCCAGCAGGCAATGCCGCAAGCCACGGCAGGCGACCAGCACGGGAGACTTCATTGGGATCTCGACTAGAATTGAAATAGCTTAGACCTCCAATAAGAGCCTCTGCTTGGTGGTGGCGGGAAAACCATTCAAAGGGCAAAACAAACAGTGTACGTCCGGCGGGGTGAGCGGCCACTACGTGGTACCGCGGGGTACAGGCAGCATCTTCCAGCCGGCGGACGTTCATGGGCGTGGCGCGTGCGTGTGTGAGTGTGTGTGTCGGCTGGAAGGGTACGCCCCCGCTTAGGCGTCCGGGACTAGACAGGACAAGCCAGTGTGTGCGCGTGTGAGTGTGAGTGTGTGTGTGTGTGTGTGTGTGTGTGTGTGTGTGTGTGTGTGTGTTGTTCTCCAGCATATTCCCACGCACCGGCGCGCTACATTTATCGGTCGAGCATGGCGTCTCGTCTGGTGACTTGTCGAGTGTCATCGTGCGTGCGTGCGTGCGTGTGTGTGTGTGTGAGTGTGTGTGCGTGACGGACGCCGCGGCGGCCAGGCGACGGCACCGACGGGGACACTTATCAGCCTGCTCCTATTTACCCATTTACCCGTGCCCCAGGGCGCTGTGCGCTTGGCGGGCTTGGCGGGCTTGGCGGGGCGCGCTGCGAGTGCGAGAGAGACACTGCCGCCGACACGTGTACGCGATACTTGACACGTGTACTTAACACCTGTCGACACACGCTGGATACGCCGCGGCCGGCCGGCCTGGCCTGGCACGCCAAATTAAAATAATCTGATGGCAACTTGGGGACGCCGAGCCCGGCCGCGCCGCGCCGCATGTTCGCCAGCTCCATAAAAACAGAAAAGATTTTCCCGATAATGACAGCTAGCGGCGCAAGAGGAATTATTTTGGGCCGGCTGCTGCGGGGGCCTGCGCCCGCCAAGGCGCTTAACACCAACGCCACATGGCCCGGTTCAATAACATGTGGGTCCTGTGTGTGTGAGGCAGCGCGCGCCAGTGTGTGAGTGTGTGCCCAAAAGCATGGGGGTACCGCCAGTAGTCGTTAATGTATGAGACCGCTATCGAGTCAACCCAGCCACCAGCAGCGCGCCAGCGCGGCACTTCAACTGCTAAAAAGAAAGGTCGAACGAAATAACGCCAGCCGTGACAACTTAATTATGAAAGAAAAAAAATTAAAAATCAACAGGCCAATGGCAAAGCCGTAAGCCGCGCGCTCAGAAAATTAATTCGAAATCTGGAATGTCCAATTTAATAATTACACGGTTTCTCTATCGAGCAAAGCAGCAGAGCCCCGGACGTGCAAGGCACTGCAAGGCACGGCAAGGCACTGCACTGCAAGGCTGGCTCCTGTTGCAAATGGCGGCGCCAAGGCCGCTGCTGTGCTGCTGGTGAGGGGCTTGTCTTTACTACTGATGACGATGATTAAAGTTGACGAGAGCGGGGGACGGGAGAGAGGTAAGGGGGGGGGGGCACTGGACGACTTGCAGCGGGCTAACCTTTACTCTGACCGATTATTGGTTATTGGCCGTGCCGGCCGTGCGCGCCGTGCGGGCTTTTAGCTCGTGGTGCCCGCTGGCGTCCGTGTTTGCGCCAGCGGCGCCGGCGGCCGGGCTTGACCGGTTGACTCGCCAAAATTCTTGGACTCTCGGAGCGTCCGGCTCTGTTTTCCTAGTCAATTAAGCCCGGGTCTGGCCGGCCCGCCGGCCGTGCCCCTCGGCGCTGTCGACGACGCGGCAACGCGCGCGATGCGGGCTTCGTCAGCTTCGTCAGCTTCGCTCAAAGCCTCGGAGCGTGCCGCGCGCTACGCTCCGCGCTTCAAAACAGCGGGGAGCCTCTCGGAGCATTTTCGCGAACAAAGTAGTATCCTTCGGCCGCCCGCATGCGGGGAGGAGGCGGGCAGGGCGGGCGCAAGACGCGGCATCACGGTGCGTGTTCTGGCCCAAAACAACAACAACAACACGGTGCGGCGCCATTCACTTGACATTGTGAAAGTGCCAAACTTTATGGTGATTACAAGCAAAGCATCCGCGATCCAGCGGCCGGCAGGGCGGCGAGGCGGGGCGGGGCGGAGGGCCGGCCGGGCGCAGCGCCGCGCCGCGAGTGTGAAATATGGTTCCAGCCGGCAACCCGCTCCGCGTCGAGCTCCGCGAGCTCCGCGCCCCACCCGCTCGCCGACTCGGCCCGGCCCGGTTCGGTTCCGGCTGCCCGCCTCCCTGCCCGGGCCTCCGGGCCTCCGGGCCTCCGCGCCGCGCAGCTGCCGGTGCGCCCGGGACTCGCCGGAGCGTGTGCAGAGTACCAGCAACACGGCAGTGCACGGCAGGCATCTCAATCCGGACAGGTGCAGTCGGAGGGCGGAGGGCTTGCGCGGGTGGGTGCACTGTGCGCCGCGGTCCTCGCGGGTCCTCGGCCCCTCGGCCGTACCGGGCTTCGGTCCGCGGCCCCACGGCCTCCGTTCGTCACCGCAGCCGCCGCGGCCACCGCCAAGCTTGAGCACCCATGGGTGACGCGGTCTCGGACGCGCGGGACGGGAGGCTCGACTCCGAACAGTGCGCTTAGCAGGTCGCCGCGTCTCGCTCGCGGGGCGTCCCGCAGGCCCGCAGGGGTGCGAGAGAGACAGACCGACGAAACGCTGAGCGGAATCAGTCGCCAGCGGCCGCATCCATCTCCAAACCACAGTTCGCCATCGTCGGCGTGCTTTGGCCGCGTGCATTTTCGGCCAGCGGTCAGCCCAACCCGACCTCGCCCCCCGCTTTGGCCTCAGCCTCAGCCTCAGCCATGACGACGTCTGCCGACGTCAGCATCGACGATGCATCTGGACGTTGTATTCCTTTCCGTTACCCTTGTTCAATCCATTCCGTCCGTCCGTCGTTCCAGTCCGGTTCCGTGTGCCAGTCCGGTCCAGGACTGCAGGACTCGCTCCAGCGTGGCTCCAGCGTGGCCGGCGTCGCCGCAGCGCTGCAGCACGACTCCAGGACCACACAGCGAGCCGCGGCGGGCAGCGCGCCGGGCAGCAGGGCAGCGCGCCGCGGCGGCTGGAGGCTGGAGGCTCCAGAGAGCGATACCGCCTCGGCCATGGCCTCGGCCGCGCGGACGGGGACGGCGAGGATGGGGGGTGCTTGGGGGCGCACTTGTTGCAGGCAACAGGTACCGTCACCTGGCGCCCACACTGACAAGACGCAAACGCGCGCGCGCACACATAGGTACATGCACGCCGCTACAGCCATGCCTCTTCCCCCGCCCCACCGCCTCTTTGATTGGTCAGTCTTGGCTGGCCAGCCAGTCACGTTGTTGTGTTGGCCTGGCTAATTTCGCTGCGTGCGTGACCGGAGGGGCCGTCCCGCAACAATGAGCGGCCAGCCAGCGCAGCCCAGCGCAGCCAGCCCGCGCCCTCGTCTTGCCGCGTCGGCCCGGCTGCTTCCGCGCGGCGTAGACGTCGTAGACGCGGTGGGGGAGGAGGCGGGAGGAGGAGGGTCCCTAGGGAGGGTGCGCTTGGTGCGCGTCCCTCCTGGAGACCTGGAGCCGCAGGTGCCCCGCCGCTGCCGTCGTCCCGGGGCCACCCACAGAATGGACGGGGCGGGGCGGGGCGGGGCGGGGCGGGGCGGGGCGGCCCAGCTGTTGTCGTCAACGCTACGCTAGGGACCCTCTCTGTGAGAGATGGGTCAGAGCTGACGTCACAGGCGCTCTGGTGTAAACGGGCGAAAAGGCCCCCTTCGAGAGGCTAGGCTATGAGAAATCCTCGTGTCGCATCGTGGTGCCTATGTGATCTTACGCCAGGTGGAAAGGTACGTCCGTTTGGGAATTAATTTTGAGAAGCACGATTATTTGCACGGGTTCGACTTTAAGTTCATCCATGTTTCAGTTTTCAAACCGAATTCAGCGTTTATTTTATTTTTTTCATTTTGCTTTCCTGCATTCTTTACTTCTTCAGGTATTTAGCACCTTAACCTGCAATTCCACCTTGTTGCAGGACATCAGTGATTTATTAACGAGGTACTAGGATGGGGGCAGGGTGCACGGCTGTCAATTGCTACAACAGCAGTGCAAAAGGGTACACGATGTGCAGATACCCGAAGGATCCTCAACTTCGCGAGAAGTGGCTGCAGGTCCTTGGCAGGCCTCAGTGGAATCCGTACAAGGAAGCAAGAGTCTGTGATGTAAGTTTCGTATGGATTTTGTTGTTTATGCCTATAATGTCGCTGGTGGTGTTGATTCATGGTAACTTCCTATTTCAGGTCCACTTTTCCAAAAGCCAATGGGTGAAGTGGAAGCTGAGACTCCGTCCTGATGCAGTGCCAAGCAAGCTCTGCATTTGTGATATAGCTGTCAAGCGGGCTGCCAAGAAGCCACATCAACAAAACACCACTGTCAAGAGCGTAGTCCAGCATGACCATTGCTACACTCAGTTCAGTTCTCCTTCCTGCCCCGTCCATGTACCAGCTGGAGTGACAGACGACCTCTTCAAAGAAAACTGCAGCCTGGAATCCGAAATTCACATCCTGCAATCAAAACTCGCTCACAGCAACAAAAGTAAAGAAGAAATGAAGACCATATTAACATCAATAGAAAATGTAGGCAAGACCCCTGTAAAGAAAGAGTACACTTCTGCAGACATACAACGTGGTTTGCAGT